CCGCTCCGCAGGCGCGGCGCCTCTTCCCCACCGGGACCCCGCCTCCGGGCCTTTCCGCCGCCGCCCCCTCCGCGCGCCTCTGCCCGATGCGAGCGCGCCTGCCGGGGCCTGGCTCCGGGTCCCCTTTCTCCAGCCGCCACGTGCCTCTCTTAAGAAGCAGAGGGCAGCCTTGGTGTCCCTGCTCCAGAAGGGAAAGCGTGCCCGCTCTTCTGGAAAAGGGCCCCGTGTCCTCTTCTCGCCGACCTGGCGATTGCGGAGCGTCACGGTGAGCGCTGGGCGGAGATGCTCGGGCTGGACGTCTCGCTTATTGACGCTGGGAAATCATTCAGCTGTTCAGTGCTTTCTTAGGTTTGCAGGATTGGTAGGTTTATAGAAGGAAAAACACGCTGTCCCAGTTCTTTCTACTAAAGCAAAGCACGAATGCTCTGCTGTGTTTTTGAGGTCAGGAGCAGCTGAACTTCCTAGGTCTATACATACCCAAAGAGCTTCCAGGAAGGAGGTTGCTGTATCAGAAATGATGCTAGTAGGTCGGGTGCGGTGGCTCACACCGGTAATCCCTGCACTTTGGGAGGCGGAGGCGAGAGGCTTGCCTGAGCCCAAGGAGGTGGAGACCAGCCTCAGCCACTTGGCGAGACCTCATCTCTACAATAATTAGCTGGGCGTGGTGGTGCGCACCTATGTCTCCAGCTACTTTGAAGGCTGAGGCAGAAGGATCACCAGAACCCAGCAGGTTGAGGCTGCGGTGGCCATGAGCGTGCCACCGCACTCCAGCCTGGGCGACAGAATGAGACTCCGACTAAAAAAAAAAAAAAAAAAAGAAAGAAAAGAAAAAAAAAATTATGCTAGTATCAGAAATTACAGTTGAAATAACTGTGAAAGAGATGATAATTGAACAAGCGATTTCCCTCCTTATATTTTGATTGACTATTTATAAAACAAAGAAAGTTCAGAACATTTAACGCCTGTATATCCTTGTTGTACATTGACTGTGTGTTAATGTTTTGAATGTTTTCTGCTTCTTTGCATCTCTCTCCTGTGCGTAGGTAATGTTTATGATAAGTTCTTTGTAGTAGGAGATTGAGATAATTTGTAGACGTGATATTTGGCTTTAAATGCTTGATTAGTTGCCTCATATGTAGCAACAAAGGAGTTCCATAATAACTCCTACATATTAATACTAAAAATGAAAACCCAATAGAAAACTTAGCAAGAGGTTTGGATAGGTTCTTTATTAAAGGATATGTCCAAGTGGATGACAAATATATGAAAAGGTGCTTGATATCAGAAGCTGGGGAAATGCAAATTAAAACCACAAAGTGAGAATACTGCACACACAGCTGAATGGTTAAAAGTAAAACTAAAGTGTGTGGCAATACCAAATGTTGGTTAAGATGTGCAGAAATTGCTGGTGAAAATACATTTAAACAGTATCAATTAAATATGAATTGGTCATGTAGCAGTAATACATGCTCCTGTGTACCAGGATAAATACAAAGACTATTCACAACATTATTTGAAGTAGCCCTAGATTGGAAACAACTCAAGTGTGGATCCACAAAAGGATGAATGAGTTGTGGTGTATTTTTTCTTGTGGCATACGCTTTAGCAAAGAGAGGAACCAAATAATAGGTAGATGAATACAACAACTTGGATGAGCTTCACAAAAATTATTTTGAATGGAAGAAGCCCGACACAAAATAATGCATACTGTTTGTTACTGTTTCTTTAAAATTTAAAAATAGGCAAAATCAACTAGGGTGTTAGGTGTCAGAATAGTATTGCAATTGGGAGGCATGTCTTGGAAAAGACTATGTCTGTGATGCAGGGTATGTAAATATCCTATTTCTTGACTTAAATGGTAGTTATATGGGGTAGTTCATTTCTTGATAGTTCATTGAGATTTTTATTTATGACTGCCTCCTTCAGGTATATGTATGCTGTAATTCAGTGAGAGAAGTTCAAGAACTAAGCATTCTTCATAAAGTTGACTGAGAAATATAGGAGAATAAAATGTACTGAGAGTGGATAATAATAAAAATAGCACTTAATTGAAAACAGTAGATCAAAAAATATGAAAAATTTTGAAAATATTTCATATTGGAACATTTTTCATATTTCATATTGGAAATATGAAAAATATGTTTATATTACAGTCGTAGCTAACAATGAAATATGGAAAAACGTCAATTTCAACATAAAAGAAAAACAACATGATTCACACCTTGTTGAAGTGGCCAGCATTAGAAATGTATTTTGAGTCTTTTCGAAAACCATGATATTCAGGTTCAAATGTCTTTGGAACAAAAGTGGAACACTAATTTTTTTTAAGTGAGGTATCAATTGCCACTGTTATCTAAAGTGGTGATTTTTCTTATTCTGTCTTTATCTTAACCCTACCCAGTCTTGTCTCTGTATCAGGAATTTATTTGTGTGTGTGTGGGGTGGGAGGTACTATACTACTCATCACTAACTGATAAATCAATTGTTTGTATATTACCTGTATTGCCCCCATTGAAATGTGAGCTCTCAAAGAGCTGTTCTTCCTCAATGCCTAGGACCTGGCCTGCCCCAGGGAAGGCTCTTGATAAATATTTACAGACTAAATGAATAAAGGTGAAGGTTCCAAGTCAATCCAAGCTCCAGCAGAGCATGTTCAGGGGGACTTTAGAATTGCATAAAACCTTTTGTATTTCTGCTCTTCATTATATCTAGTAGAGGTCTGGACTGAATTCTGGTCACATGAGGAAGAACAACCACAGGAGATCAGACTTTTGACACACTATTTTGTCATGTAATTCTTGCTTGCCACTTCTTAACTGGAAATTTGGGACCAACTACTAATCCCGTTGGCTTTGAAATTATAGTATTAATACCCAGTTTGAAGGGTTGTTTGAACAATCCAAGGAGCTTATCTATCAACAGTTTTTAATGGCCATCACATATGTTTCATCTGCAGAGAAATGGCTGATGAGTGATGTTTGATGACTGAGGAAAAATATGTTGCTTAATGATTGATATTGTGAACCAGTTACCCAGATGGTACTGCAGTAAAGTAGATCAAGATTAACCCATTTAAATTCATGAGCTCCTCTGAAGTGATCTGAACAAGAAATGGAATGCTCAGGAACAACATTTCACTATCAGTTTCCCAGGATGGCAGCCACTGATCTGACTCATGTGTTTGGTGAGTCCTTGCTGATGCTTCTTTTCAGATCATCTACTTTACGTAGTTCATTCACAAGTGCCAGCTCCATTGCTCAGGGGTTGTGCAGTCATGCAGTGGGCCTTGTAAGAGGGATTGAAAAGAACCATAATGTGTAATAGCCAGGTTCCTGAAATTTGGGATGCAAGAAATGGTGTGTGTGTGTGTGTGTGTGTGTGTGTGTGTGTGTGTGTGTGCGTGTGCGTGCACACGTACTTTTTTTGGGGAATAAAACTTCATGCATTTAATCATGTCTTTCAAATAAACAGCTTTGCCTCCCTGCCCTTTAATTTGGGTAACTATAAAATGGAATTAACCTTTTTTCAAGATGATCAAGATCCAGGGATCCCTTTTCTTGCGCTAGGTTACTCAAGACTTCTTTGATATATTATGGAAGTAGTATGTTTGCAGTGTGTTGTGTGTGTGGTGTGGAACAGCTTCTAGACATGATTGTTGGTTTTGTGGAATTTCATGTCATTATTCTTTTTCCTAAGGTCATCTTTCTCAGGATGCTTTGTGTCTTTGTGAAAGGAATATCAAGGAGGCAAGGATGGTGGCTGGGTTACTGATGGGTTCTTCTCAGGCAAGTGAAAAGTACATCTTCCTTCAAAATGCTATGCTTGTTTCCATCAGGTAGCCTCATCCCTTTGTCATGCATTCAAGCTTCTTAAAGTAATGACAGTTCTGCTCAGAGAATGAGTCTCTGGTGAATGTGTCCAGGAACCATGGCATCTCAGGTTGTGCAGGGATTACACTGGAAATGATTGTTTTATCCCAGTATTTACTAATTATTTCTGATCCTCAATCATGTTTTTTGGCTCATTGTTTTGCTGAGTGTTAGGACAGATTGTAAGGAGATGAAAGTATCTAATCTCAAGGAAGTTTTATGTCACTGGAAATAACTCATTTGTTATCAGATTTTACATAGTGTTGCAACATATTCATTGCTAACTGTAGTCCATTGATAGAGAAAGAATAAGACCAGAAGATCCCATTGTGAAGTTGTGGTAAGATAAGTTTAGTCATGTGTCAGTGATCCTAGTAAATGCATGTGACTGGATACAATCACCAGATAATATCTATATAGAAGAGAAGAGGTCTGGGGCTCAGGTGTGAGGAGTACTGCAGGTTTCTAGTTTTCCTTAGTCCTTCATGCATCTTTCTCCGAACATCAAAGAAGATGGTACTTAGCTGAAGCCAGTATGTATTTGATGGTTTAGCACTTAGTGACCTTTGAGGATGTGGCTGTGGACTTTACCCAGGAGGAGTGGACTTTGTTGGATCAAACACAGAGAGATCTCTACAGAGATGTAATGTTGGAGAACTACAAGAATCTTGTTACTCTAGGTAAGGCTCGCATTATTTCTTCACTGAACCCTTTAGGAAATAAATATCTTTCTTTCTTTTGTTTTTTTGAAAGCAGGATTTATTGAGAGGACAGAAAAGCTCCCACAGTGGGAGGGGACCCAAAGGGGTTGCCTATAAATATTCTTTTTTTTTTTCAGTTGGAGTCCTACTCAGTCACCCAGACTGGAGTGCAGTGTCCACTCCCGGCCACTGCAGCCTCGACCTGTTGGGCTCTGGTGATCCTTCCGCTTCAGCCTTCCAAGTAGCTGGCACTATAGGTGCGCGCTACCACGCCTGGCTAATTTTTTGATTTATTGTAGAGACGAGGTCTCGCCAAGTTGCTCAGGTGGGTCTTGAACCCACGGGCTCAGGCAATTCACTCACCTTGGCCTCCCAAAGTGCGGGATTACAGGCTGAGCCACCGAGCCCGGCCCATAAATATTTCTTAATTGTTTGGTTTCAAATGGGAATACTGTGATAAAAAGCAGACATAGAGCCTGGCCACTGGGCATTACTGTACAGAGGATTCTCCGTGACAATGAAGATCTGTCTAAATAAATTACTTTATTTCCTTTATGGATTACAAACTTTAAGACTTTAAGTATGTATGAGGTTGGACATGCTTTTTGGACTCCAGAACTCTCTAGTCATTTGATGGCACCGAGGGACAATGTGCTGCTATTTTTGTTCCTTTTGAAATTTGTTAGAAATGCATGTGTGTAAAGTTACATAGCTGTCTTTAGAATCCCTGAAGGCAAAATTTTTGGTTCTCAGTTCAAAGACATGGCATCATAGTTTGCATGGTTCTCTTCTGTTACGTATTTCTCCCTCCTGCAGGGTCCGAATTGTGCAAGCCCAATCTCATGTCTCGATTGGAACGAGTTGAAGAGCTGAGGACAGGAGGGAGGGGAGTTCTGCATGGTGAGTTCACAAGTAGATAAGGTATTATGAAGAGTAGTGCTAGTCTGGGAAACATGCATTACATTTGGAAATGTCACTTTGCAAACTTCCCAGGGTATACGCTTCTTCCTGAGAAGGCTGTTTCCTTAGGTACCTTCAACTCCCTTTCACCTTTACATTTCCACTGGGCTTGTCAACCTTTTTCTGTTCTTAGAAAGATTTGTCTGCCTTGTTTGCAAATTTCATTTTAAGCATGTAGCCCCTTTGTTTTCAGTTTTTAAAATCTTTTTGCTTACTATCCACCTCAGTTTTCCAGAAATTCTTTTTTTTTTTTTAAGTTGGAGTCTCATTCTGTCACTCACGTTGGAGTGCATAGGCATGCCTGCGGCCACCGCAGTTTTGGCCTGCTGGTCCCAGGCAATCCTTCCGCTTCAGCCTTCCAAGTAGATGGAACTATAGGCATGCGCCACCATGCCCAGCTAATTTTTTGATCTACTGTAGAGATGAGGTCTCGTCAAGTTGCTCAGGCTGGTCTCGAACCACTGGGTTTAGGCATTTCTCTCAGCTTCTCCCTTAGTGCTGGGATTACAGGCACGAGCCACTGCACCTAGCAGTTTTCCGGAATATTATTATTTGATAAACTACCTACAGTATTGACACCATATCTTTATCATGGCCAAACTTCTGACATAGCCCAATTCTTTGTAGTCCATCCTTCCTTTTTGATTCACAATTTTTATCATGTTTCATTCATATTTAGAAATATGTACACGTGTCATATGCTTATTTAAGAGAAGATACTAAAAGATTCACCATTTTAGTGAGTATAATTCATTGGCATTAAGTATACTCAGTGTTCTGTAACCATCAGCTCTTTTTAGTTCCAGATCATTTTCATTACCCTAAAAGGAAACCCAGTACCCGTTAAGCAGTCACTCCCCATTCACCCTGCAACCACTAATTTGCTTTCTCTCTCTATAGATTTTCCTTTTTTATATATGTCACATAAATGGAATCATGCAATGATACCTTTTCTGACTGGCTTCTTTCACTTTGTGAAATGTTTTCAAGGTTGATTCATTCCTTTTTATGGCTAATACTCAGTTGCATGAACAGGTCACATTTTGTTTATCCAGTTATTTGCTGATGGACATTTCTCCCCCACCTTTTGGCTATTGTGAATAGTGCTGCAATGGACATTTGTTTACAGATATTTGCACACTTGTTTTTTAATTCTTTTGGGTACATACCTAGAAATGGTGAAGCTTTACTAGGCATTTTTCTACTAAAGTTTTGGTGTTCTCAAAACTCTCTCATAATAAGCAGATGTCATCATTCTTTGGCCCTTCAGAAAGTCAACAAGCAAAATGCTTTGAGAAACCCCAAAAATTGTTGTCATGACCTCTGCTCCTGACTAGTCTGCTTTTGCTTTGACTAAACCACTTATATTTCTTGGCTGCCATTTTGTTCATTGTGCTTTGTCTTCAGATTGTACTGGTAAAGGGATGTTTCATTTCCTGTTACAATTATTTGTAGCAATGCTTCAGGATCTTGATTCCACTTATTAAAAATTTCCATTGAAAGGCCTATCTTTGTCTGCAGTTGATCTGGGCACAGTGGTTTTGGCACCCATCGAGTGGAAATTTTTCTCAACTTTAATTTTGTCATCAGTTCAGATGTCTATGGCGTTGGCTATTGTTTCTGCTGCTAATCTTTGGTCCTCTTCAGTAGAGGCTCTTTTCAGACTAATGTCTTATCCTTCTAAGTGTCTCAAATTAGATCCTGTTCAGATCTGTTTTAACAAGTTAGTACAGATTTATTTTGGTGCCAAAAAAATTGGAATCCATGAATAGTTTTTTTCATTATACACATTTTCCATGAACCTTTTGAAGTCTCATCATGTGTCTATCCTTGTGCCTTTATCACACATTTTAGATATTGTTCTTTTCAGATACAGAATTTTTATTTAGTTTTAAAATATAATATCTTTCTTTATTGACACATAATTCTTCTGGTTTTCTTTGGTTCTCTGTGGTTTCTGTTAACTTTTTGATCATGTTTAAGAAAGTTGATTTGGCCCAGAATTTTAGGAAACTGAGGTGGGAAAATCACTTGAGCCCAGGAGTTCAGGACCAACCTGGACAACATAGCAAAACCCTGTCTATACAAAAAAAAAAAAAAAATGAAACGAATTAAAAAATATATAGCCAGGCATGGTGGTCCATGCCTGTAGTCCCAGCTACTTAGGAGGCTGATACAGGAGGATAGTTTGAAACCAGGAGATTAAGGCTGCTGTGAGCCATGATTGTGCCACTGCATTCCAGCCTGGACAGCAGAGCAAGACTGTCTCTAAGAAGGAAGGAAGGAAGGAAGGAGAAAGAGTTCTGTCCATTTTTCTTTCTTATTCTTTTGCATGCCTCTTAATTTTTTACTGAAAATGTCAATTTTGGATATTCTAATGTGGCAATTTGGAAATCTGATTCCCCCTTCTCCTGTGGGGTTGTTGCTGTTTGCTGTGGATTGCTGATGTTTGTGTAATGACTTTTATAAATTATTTTTGTAGTCTGCATTATTTTTAGTGCAGGCTCTAAAGTCTGTATTTTTAGCTTAGTGATCAAGTTAGAATGACAGAATTTCTTTAAATGACTAGAAGAAAATACAAACAAAAATACTCTTTTAGACTTTGCTGATGGGCTGAGTATTGGATCACTCCTTCGTTGCTTAGCCAGGCTGTTTATAGCTCTTCCGTATCCTTTTCTTCATTGTGGATCCCAGCAGTCTGCCAGAGATGAAAGCTAAGGATCTTTTCAGGCATGAATCCAGCCCTGGGTATACTTGTGGCCTTCTTGGTTCTCTGGTTAACACCGGAACTTTTAAAGGCCCTTATAGCCAGGCTCGGTGGCTCAGCCTGTAATCCCGCATCTCTGGGAGGCTGAGGTGAGTGGATTGCTTGAGCCTGCAGGTTCGGGACCCACCTGGGCAACGAGACCTCATCTCTACAATAAATCAAAAAATCAGCTGGGCGTGGTAGCACGTGCCTGTAATTCCAGCTACTTGGAAGGCTGAGGTGGAAGGATCGCCGGAGCCCAGCAGGCAAGGCTGCAGTGGCCGGAAGCAGCCACTGCACTCCAGTGTGGGCGACCGAGTGAGACTCCAACTCAAAAAAAAAAAAAAAAAAAAAAAAGAAAAGGCCCTTATTTACCCACAAATCAGCATTCCCAACCTGCTTCTTAGGTTTTGCAGTTCATCTTTTGTTTGTCCTGTTTTCCCTTTCCTTAGGCTGTTGTGGGGAACACTTTATATTAATACTTACAGTAGAAGCTGCTTGGGGTGCTGCCTCAGTCTTTGGAGCTCTCTTGAGTTGGGTGAGATAAAAGCAAGTCCTTGTACCCTGGTATTTGCGGAAGTTGCCAGGTAATTCAAAACACGCAATGACAATTATTTGAGAACAAGGTCCATGTTACTCCCTTTGGCACTACCAATTTGCACAGGGAATGTGTCCTGCCATCTACACAGCTGTAGCTAATCTACAAAATGAAGCTGGCACTCTCCTATTTAAAATGACAGCATTCTCCTAGTGAAATGCAGCCACTTTTTCTTCCGTAAGTGTTTCCCTGGTGGTTGTAAGTTTTTGACTAGATTTCAAAGTTCTGAAACGATTGATTCTGATAGCTTTTCAGAGGTTGTTAGTTTTATTATGGTGGGAAGGAGCCCTGGAGTTCCCCACTCCGCCACATTTGGTAATGATATTCCATGTGCTTTTAAACAACTTTAGTCCATGACTTTTCTCCAGACCTACATTTTTAACCTTATTTCAGAACTTGATTTGCAACTCAAAACCAAAGGCTCCCCACTGCCTCAAGATATTTCTGCAGAAAAATCACCAAATGGAATACAATTGGTAAGATTTCCAAAGGATGAACTTTTCCACACTAGGATAAGCAGCACAATATCCATGAGAATTATATGAGGGAAATGGCATTTACCCAAAGAAAACAAGAGTCTGTTAAAAATCCCTGAATATCATGAATCTGGGAGCATTCTTTCACTTTAAACCTGTTTCTTCTCAGAGATCTCACAGATAAACATCCATATATATATTTCCCAGATATTGTTTTTGGTATAATAATTTAGTCTAAAGAATTATCAGACAAATTCTCTAAGTAGCTCTGTAAATAGAGAATATAGGCAGGTTTCTGACCTCATGGTCAATTTATTCAATTTAAAACAACTCAAAAACAGAGCAGGAACTCTGTATACACAGTGAAAATGTTAAAATGTAGTATTTCCAATTCATAAATGTTGTGATGGGGAGATATTCTGTTACTACAGTAAATACGAGAAAGTCTTTAATTTTCTTTTATATCTTAATCAAAAGGAGAGAAGTAATACTGCAGAGAAACTCTATGGCTCTAACCAGTGTGGAAAAGTGAACACCCGTTTTGTGAACCCATTTTGTGAACACCCATTTCTTCTGACTCACGTGAGAACTCACACTGGAGAGGAAACTTCTGAGGCTAGTCAGAGTGGAAAAACCGTAAGAAATAACTTTACTTGTAGTTTTCATAAGAAAACTCATGTTGGGGAGAAAGCCTCTAAGTTTGTTCAACATGATAAAGCCATCAACCAGTTTCCAAATATTACTGGGCAGAAGAAAACCCATAATATACAAAAGAAATTGTGTGAATGCAAAGATTGTTGGAGAACTTTTTTAAATCAGTCATTACTTAAGGTACATATGAGATCTCACAATAGAGAAAAACATTATATATGTAAGGAATGTGAGAAAGCCTTCAGTAATTCTTCACACCTTATAGGACATATAAGAATTCACAGTGGAGAGAAGCCCTATGTCTGTAAAAAATGTGGTAAAGCCTTCACTCAATCCACAGGACTTAAATTACACATCAGGACTCACACTGGAGAAAAACCACATAAATGTAAAGAGTGTGGGAAAGCCTTCACCCATCCCTCATACCTTACAGATCATATAAGAGTTCACAGTGGAAAGAAGCCCTATGTATGCATAGAATGTGGGAAAACCTTTACTCGATCCACAGGACTTATTTTACACATACGAATTCACACTGGAGAAAAACCATATGAATGTAAGGAATGTGGAAAAGCTTTTATTCATTCCTCATATCTTATAAAACATGTAAGGATTCACAGTGGAGAGAAGCCATATTTATGTAAGGAATGTGGGAAAACTTTTACTCGTTCCTCAGGACTTGTTTTACACATGCGAACACACACTGGAGAAAAACCTTATGCGTGTAAAGAATGTGGGAAAGCCTTTAGTAATTCCTCAATGCTTAATCAACATGTAAGGACTCACACTGGAGAGAGGCCTTATGCATGCAAAGAATGTGGGAAAGCTTTCACTCAGTCATCAGGCCTTAGTACACATTTAAGAACTCACACTGGAGAAAAGGCCTATCAATGTAAGGAATGTGGGAAAGCATTTGCTCGTTCCACAAATCTTAGTATGCACATGCGAACTCACACTGGAGAAAAGCCATATGAATGTAAAGAATGTGGGAAAGCCTTCAGATATTCCACATGCCTTAATGTTCATGTGCGAACTCACACTGGAGAAAAACCATATGAATGTAAGGAATGTGGGAAAAACTTCACTCAATCTTCAGCACTTGCTAAGCATCTAAGAACTAAGGCATGTGAAAACACCTGAAATGTTCCTCAGACCATAGTATTTAAATTTAAACTGATTAGGAAAAAAACCTTACAAATGTAAAGAATATGAGAAACCTTCCCGCAATTTTCATTCCTTATGTAATAGGTGTGAATTTACCATAGGAGAAGTCCCATTAGTGTATGTAATATGAGAGAACAATAATTATTCACACCTAGTATAAGAACTCACATTTGAGAAAAACTTCTGGCTCTAAGACATGTGGGAAAGCCTTTTTTTTGGGTCCCAACATTGCTTATATTGCATATCTAACATTAATAGCCAATTGAAGGTAAGAACATGATAAAGCCTTAAAATATTTCACATGCCTTAGTAGTACATCATAACCCACACAATAGAAAAATCCTCTTCATGTAGGGAATGTGGTAAAGAATTTACTTAGAATTCAGGCCTTAGTATCCAAGTGAGAATTTAAAGTGGTAAACAACCCTGCAAATGTAAAGGCTACAAGAAGATCATCACTTCCTTCTCATACGTTTTAGTAACAAAATTTAAGAACTTACAGTGGAGAGATACTATATATATGAAATCTGGGACAGCTTTCAGAAATTTCTGACAGCTTTGTGTGTAAGAAGGTTCATGAATTTAAGAAATGCTTACAATTCTTCAGGTGTTACTAAACAAGTCACAATGTGCAGTGGAGAGAAACCATTGGAGCAACTGATGGAGAGGTAGGAAATGTAGGAAAGCTTTAGTTCTACTTCTTATGTTAATATTTGGTAATCTCACAGAGGCTAAAAACATGTTAGAAACATGGGAATGCCTTCACACACGCGCGTGTGCGACACACACACACACAGCTTCCGTCCTTTAATAAAGATGATAATTCACAATGGAGAGAAATTGTAGAGAATGAGGAAAATGCTGCATCCACTTTATAAGACTTACAGTACATGTGAAAACCACCACTCCAAAGAAGCTGTATGAATGTAAAAATATGAAGTGTTTTTAGTAAATACACATCCCTTAAGAGGCTTAGAAAATACTCATTGGAAGGATAAACATTTAAAGAATTTTGGGAAGCTTTCACTATTCTTCACTTATTATGCACAAGATAATTTATGCTGGAGGAGAAATGGAAATAAATGACATGAAAATGAGATTTCCTTTCTGTGTCTTACTCTCAATGAAGGCACCAGCCACCTTAATTTTCTGAGGTTGAAAAATTCAGGCTAAATGCAGTGGCTCATGCCTGTAATCCCAGCACTTTGGGAGGCCAAGGTGGGAGGATCAAGACCCGCCTGGACAAAATATCAAGACCCTGTCTCTGAAATTTTTTTTTAAAATTGACCTTTCATGGTGGTGTGTACCTTAGTTTCAGCTACTGAGGAAGTTAAGGTGGAAGCATTCCTTGAGCCCAGGAGTTCAAGGCTGCAGCAAGCTATGGTTGAGCCACTGTACTCCAGCCTGGGAAACAGAGGGAGACTCTGTCTCAAAAACAAACAAACAAAAAAAAGCTTAAAAAAAATTTTTTTTAGTTGGAATCTTACTCTGTCACTCAGGCTGGAGTGTAGTGGCACATTCATGGCCACTGCAGCCTCAACCTGCTGGGCCTGGACGATCCTTCTGCCTCAGCCTTCCAAGTAGCTTGAACTACAGGCACATGTCACCATGCCTGGCTAATTTTTTGACTTATTGTAGAGACAAGGTCTCACCAAGTTGCCCAGGCTGGTCTCAAACCTCTGGGCTCAGGCAGTCTTCTTGCCTGTCTCCAAAGTGCTAGGATTACAGGTGTGAGCCACCATGCCCAGGCTTGCTTTAAATATTCTAAGTTGAATTTTTCCTGTATTATGATGGCATCAGGGAGGAGCTAGAACTGGAAGAGTTAACTGTACAGTGGTGTTAGGATGTTATATTTAGTCCCCATGGTAACCATAGAGAAAATATCTGTGGAATATACATAAAATAAGAGGAAAGTGTCACTACAAAAAAATCAACTAAACAAAACAGGCAATGAGGCACTAAAAAGCTGTAAAACAGGAAACAAGTATTAAAATGGCAAAAAGAGAACTTTTAATTGGTAATTATGAAAGGTAATGGATTAAATTCCCTAATCAAAAGGCATAATTTGACAGAATAGATGAAGATATGTAATCCAACTATATGAGGGGGACCCAGAAAACCCAGAATTTTTAAATAACAAATTGTGTATTCTTACATGTTTAAACTTCAGTCACTTTTAAAGTACTCTCTGTTTGATGCAATGCACCTATTGATTCAAGACCCTTTTTCCACTGCTCAAAATAGTTTTTGAACTCATCAATTTTGATGTCATTTTTTGTTTCACCTCTTCCTCATCAGCAAAACATTTCCCTTTAAGGACTTTTTTCATCTGGGAAACAAAACAAAAAATCTCTTGGGGTGAGATCGGGTAAGTAGGGAGAGTGCAGCACAGGGTTCATGCCATTTTTTGGTCAAAAACTGATAAATGTTCAGTGCAGTGTGGGCAGGTTGTTAGTGTAAATCACCCATCATCAAATGAGCAAACGCGTTGAAAGACTCTCCAAAAAGAATTCACTGAAGCCAAACACAACCTTTCACAACAATGCTAGCTGGTACACTGATGCCAGTGGGTTCCTGGAACATTGACCTAACAGGCTCTTCACAAGGGCCTGCCCTCCAAAAAATAATTTCAGGATTTTTCGGGTCCCCCTCGTATGCTGTCCCTCATCTTAGTTCTAAAGACAAAGAAGGCTGAAAGTGAAAGGATGAAAAAGTATATTCCAAGCAAACAGTAACCAAAGGCTGGGTATACTAATATCAGACAAAATAGACTTGAAGTCAAAAACTTAGGATAGACAACAAAGGACAGCATACAGAATACTGATAAAAGGTACAGTTCATTAAGAACTTACAACAATTATAACTGTGTATGTTCCCAACATCAGAGCCCAAAATACATGAAGCAAACATTGACAGAATTGAAGGGAGAAATAGACAATTTTACAATAACAGTTGGAGACTTTGATATACCACTTCCAATTTAGTAGACAGAACCACCATACATAATATAAAAAGAAAACAGAGGCTAGGCTTGGTGGCTCAGCCTGTAATCCCAGCACTGGGAGGCTGAGGCGAGGGGACTGCCAGAGCCCGCAGGTTCGCAACCAGCCTGGGCAACTTGGCAAGACATTGTCTCTACAATAAATAAAAAATTAGCCGAGTGTGGTAGCGCGCACTTGTAGTTCTGGCTATTTGGGAGGCTGAGGTGGAAAGATCGCCAGAGCTCAGCAGGTGGACACTGGGGTGGCTTTGAGTGTGCCACTGCACTCCAGCCTGGGTGACAGAGTGAGACTCCAACTCAAAAAACAAAAACAAAACAAAAAAACCCAGAATGCCACTATATACAGTTAGACCTTACAGACACATTCAGAATACTCCACTCAACAATAGCAGAATACACATTTTTCTCAAGTGTGTATGAAATAGTGTGCAGGACAGACCATATGTTAGGCTACAAAACAAGTCTTAATGAAATATAAAAGACTGAAAGACAAAGTATCATTTCTAATCACAACATAATGAAACTAGAGATGAAAAACAGGAGGAAAATAGGGAATTCACAAGTATGTTTTATTATAAACAATATTCCTGACCAAGAAATCACAAGGGAAATTAGAAAATACTTGGATACAAATGGAAATGACAATACCAGAATTTATGAGATGCAAGGTCTAAATGTTTTTTCTCCTAAATATTCATATGCTGAATTCTTAACCCCCAAGGTGATCGTAATAAGAGGTGGGTCCTTTTGGAGGTGAGAGGTCATGAGGACTCTGCAGAATGGGTTTACTGCTCTTAAAAGAATACCCTCCAGGCTGGGCATGGTGGCTTATGCCTGTAATCCTAGCACTTTGGGAAGCCAAGCAGGGAGGACTGCTTGAGCCTGAGAGTTCAAGACCAGCCTGGGCAACATAGCAAGACCCTGACTCTAAAAAAAAAAAAAAAAAAATTAACTAGCCATGGTGGCACACCTCTACAGCTCCTGAGGAGGCTGAGGCAGGATGATTGCTTGAGCCCAGGAGTTTGAGACCTGTGGTGAGCCATGATTGTGATCACACTCAGCCTGAGCAACAGAATGAGACTCTGATGAAAAACTACAAGACACCTCAGAGAGATCCTTTGTCACTTCCACCATATGCGATTACTTCAAGAAGATGGCTATCTGTGAACCAGACAGATAGAACCAGCGTCAGCCCTCACCTGACACTGAATCTGGGAGTGCCTTGATCTTGGACTTCACAGCCTGCAAAACTGAGAAATAAATTTCTGTTGTTTATCATCTACCTAGCCCATGATATTTTGTTATTGTAGCCTGAGAAGAGCAAGATAGATGCAGTGAAAGCAATGCTAAAAGGCTAATATTTAGCTACAAGTTGTTCTAGAATGAGAGAATAGAAAAAACAAATGAAAAATTACTAGAAGAAACAAGAACAAATTTAAAAACAGAAGTAATCCCAGAGACTAGTGATCACATGTACGATTACATCCATAAGCTAAATAATACAGGAAATGTACAAGATAATGTTGGAATACAGCCTGCACAAAAACAATCAATGACTGTTAGGGTCTTGTTGAAAGGAGAGAAGCCACTTGAAGAAAGTCCACTGGCCAATGGTGGGAAAATTTAATCATAAAATAGCATTTTTTGTAATAAATATCACAAAAATTGTGCAATCCATCTATGGGGAAAATTAAGGAGCAACATTAAAACAAGTGAACTAAGCCGGACTCGGTGGCTCAGCCTGTAATCCGTTGCCTTTGGGAGGCTGAGGTGAGTGAATTGCCTGAGCCCACGGGTTCGAGACCCGCATGGGCAACTTGGCGAGACCTCATCTCTACAACAAATCAAAAATCAGCCGGGCATGGGAGCGCGTGCCTGTAATTCTGGCTACTTGGAAGGCTGAGGCGGAAGTATCGCCGGAGCCCAGCAGGTCGAGGCTGCGGTAGCCGGGAGCGGCCACTGCACTCCAGTCTGG